CAAATGAATCTACCGCTAGAAGGAAATATACATTGCGCACATGCGCGCAGCACACCAGACGTGTGCAGCGCACTGCGCACCCAGATGCGCGGCGCGCGTCGGTGCGCGCGCACCCTGGGTCCGCGCACAGCGCACTGCGCAGCACACCGCGCAGCGCACAGTGCCGGTGCGCCGCAAGTATGATATAAACCATGGTTCCAATCCCCAGTCATCTGTCACAGACTACTGGAGCTGCTCGTTGTTTGTTAAGGGTGAATGCCACTGAATGGTGATCTTCACTAATAGATCAGATCCTTCCTAGATCGTCATCGGAATCCAGATACGTGTCATGGAGGACTCAAGCTTGTCGTTGTTGTTGATGATGTTGTCGATGCCAAGTTGAGGTTATGGAACAAGGCTTGTACTGAAGAGGAGGTGCGGCAACATATGGTGAGGCCTCTTGAAGGGGGTGAAGAAGGTAATGTCACACACACATACAAAGTTGCGACACACCTATTTTATCAAAAAATGATGTTCGGCGATGTTTTTAATATGAGTGACATTGCGTGTCCATTCCTTGCGCAGCGGCATTTATTTAGTTTTATTCTAGGCTGTTTGTCTGGGCACCGGGGACCCAACTTGTGCACGGATACACGCCCGGGTGCCCGGCCAGGCATGAACCCCAGGCAGTGTTCCGGACACCCCCAGCGCCCAAAAACGAAAAAGAATAATTAAAAAAATTCCAGAAAAAAAAAGTAGAATAAATACTAGAATTGCATTACAAAACCCATACAGGAGTAATCAATGCTGGTCAGGGTTCCTTCGGCCAGACGGAAGGAAGCGTGGGTGTGTACTATGATGTATTCAATCTTGACTTGCCGGGGAATAGGACTGACGCTCCCCAGAATGGACATGGAGCCAGGACCATAAGGACCTGTTATTAAAAAAAGAAGAAAAAAAAAGAAGAAAAAAAAAGAATTGCAATACAAATGACTTTTGGCTAAGGGTCACATCCGAGTTCGTCACAGAATCGAAGATAAAAAAGAAAACGACAAAATCAGAGTTGGTCTCTCTCTGCTCACTGTTTCTTTTTGTTGTCTGGATGTGTTGGTAAGTTCTGAAAGTGTGTATCAGGGTCTTTTTTTTTGTTTGTTGTTTGTTTGGTTGTTTGGTTGCATGGTTTCTTGGTTGGTCGGTTGGTCAGTCGGGCAGTCAATCGGTCAGTCGGTCGGTCAGTCGGTGGGTCGGCGGGTCGGTGTTGGTCGCTCGGTCAGTTTGTTTGTTTGTTCAGTAATTTGGGACTGCTTCTTGATTTGTGTGTGTCATCATTGCACAGGGGCCATGCTAATCTTCTCTGTATCATTCCAATTCCGACTCATATCGTGAAACAACCGCTTAAGTGGTCAATGGTTTGTCTCACGGACGCCAAGCATCACTGGTAATCCTGCATGGAGAAGAGCCTAGTGGCTGCCTACTGGTCTTCTCACTTCAAATATACGTAAAACACTTCAAAAAAGGGAGGAAGAAAAGGAAAACCTGCGTAGGAAAATGCAATAAGAACAGTTGCAGTGTGGCGCCACGCTGTCTGCTCCTTGCTTCATTTGTTTTACAAAGTGTGTTCTTCCAGCTGATAGAAATGTGATAGTTTATTGAATATATACATAAGATAGAGGGATAGAAATGTGTTAGTATATTGAATGCATATATAAGATAGAGCGATGACATTTTGCTACCAGTGTGATCTGATATTGATGATGAAGTAACTGGATAATTAACAGAACTCTAGTAGTGGTTAGCTAAGACAAAGGCATGAGGGTCAGGAGGGATGTATCGTGTTGTCGAAGGTGGAGTGAACATGACAAGACAGACACGATGGACAGGATGCGAGTAGGATAAGATGGACCAAGGTAGAAAGTGAGGACTTGGTGACGCGCGGTCTTGATAGGCGGCCCGAGGAACTGGAAGGGAGTTCCCTCCCTGCGCCCGCCTCCCCGAGGGCCATCCTGCTGCGTGTCTGGGTGCTGCTAGTAAGCCTCCCGGCCAGCAGGGTGGCCCTCGGACAGAGGCCACGATTTGGGGGGGCGGGCCCCTCTCCCCCCTCCCTCCCTTGTTTGCAGTTCCTCCCTTGCTAGGCGACTAGAGCCTCAAGGGTTAGGCCGTTCCAATTCTCTGGTCTGATCTCCCCCCTTCTTTGGATGTACAAACATGCCTGCCGGTGATGAGCAACCGGACTGTTGCCCCTCTGAATAGAAGGGGCCATTGTGTTTTTCTGGGTCGCATGGCGTACGTGTACGCAGGTTGCGCGTAGGTGCGTACACTTATACCTGTACGTGACACGTACGCGCGTACTTGTACTCCCATACGTGGGAATACTCCTAAGATTGTCACGCCCAGCCGGTCCTGCCCGGCTGGGCACCAGGAGGTCTGACCCCGGGCGTGCGAAAAAAAAAAAAAAAAAAAAAAAAAAATTTCCCCGGGTTTTCTGCACTCTCCCAGAGGACCCCAAATCCGGGCTCATTTTGTTTTTTGCGAGTTGGCCCTCAAAGGGGGGGGAGGGGTGTGGTTCTAAATGGGCTAAAGGGGTTTAAGGTTTTTGATTTTTAACTCGAGCTTCGTTGGGAATTCGGGGATGACTCCCAGGCAAAAGTTGTTTGTATTCTGATTCTGCACAACATGCTTTTGTTTCAGACCCCCCCCCCCCTCCCTTATCTTTACTCAAAATAGCAGTTTTACATAAGCCGGGAAATGGGCCCGTACGCATACCTGTCTCTTATACACATCTAGATGTGTATAAGAGACAGCTGTGTGCGAGAAAGCTTATGAGACTACCTCAAAAAGGCAGCTGCAGATTCGCATAAACATCTATCTATCTCTGTGGGATGCTGTTCGCCACGCGGCACAATGTGAACTCGTGATTCTGTTCCATGAGGTCGATCCATGCGTGCACTTGTTGCCCCCTTCACTTCTTTCTATAATATTTCATGAGACAACCCCTTTTTGTTGAACACCCCACCTTGTGAACTTCTCCCCCAGGTCGATCTGTTCTCGCTGTAACGTTTGCTCTGTCTATCTGGCTGCAACTTTTTTTCTGCACTCCGTTCTTGTCAGGACTTGTTGGCTATTGGAAGTTTGACGAAGGTGGTGGGCATACAGCATACGACTTCACCTCATTTAGGAACCATGCTGTGCTCGGATATGGTCGCCGGAGACCTCGCTGGAATGCCTCTTCGGCCCCGGTAAGAAGAGTTGTATCTCTGTTGCACAAAACGAGCTTGTGTTTGAGCGTTTTTTCATTCTTGTTTTCATCCTGTTGTTTTGGTTGTATGTGCGTTCGACGTTCAGTAACACCACACTATCCCTGAAGCAAAGACATACCCTACTTCCACAGCCCTGCCACTAAAATATTAGTGATTGAACTCTGTTACTCTAACTTTGAACATGCCATGGTATATTAATTATGACGTGTGTTTGCTCATCTTTGCTGGCAATACAATTTGTCTTCAGAGTTGGAAGTTCAGACATTAGAACATTGCTGTGCTACCTTCTTCCCCCAAATACAACGTACGGTCATTATAGCTGTATTTGAGGCATCTTTCAGTCTAGATACAGCTATAATTACGTTGTATTCGGGGGAAGAAGGTACGGTTGTTACTGCTGTCCCTTCTCAGCTCCTGTCGTTAGGAAGAGGCAAAACTTCTGACAACTGCTGGAGCGTAGCCGCTGCAGCCCTCCCCGGTTGCATGTATTGGGTAAAGAGGGTCACTACCGTCTTCACCCGAGAACGCCCGGTCATTATAACTGTATTTTTTTGGCACAACTTTCATCCCAGATACGGCAATAATTACCGGGCGTTTTATTCGGATGAAGACGGTAGGCCTGTGAGCTGAGCTTGACTGTAGTTCGACTGGTGTAGAAGAAATGGGAGATTTACAGCACAAGTGAGAGATTTAGGAAGCTAAAATTTGAAGCTTTGTTTGTGGTGCCTGGCTAAAGGATGGACGAGACCAAGGAAGAAAAAACACTGCAACTGAAAAGCACAAGTTGGTAAACAGCTTTGAGGCCAAAGTAAAGCAACAGAGCTGTTGTCATGTTAGGATGCACAGATGCGGAGAAGTCAGAGAGAGGGCAGAAGTAGGTCAGCAGAAGCAGAAACAGACTAGCGGTAGGGGTCGTGCTCCACTGCACAACATCCTGAATGCATCTCGATTGCTGCGTGATGCTGATACATTTCAGAATGAGCCTACATTTAGGAATGCATCTGGACAATTTAGACAATAAGCCAGATAGATGCGGAGCGTTGTATGGTGGACCGAGGCCCTAGGTAGTGGCTTCCAATCACCTGTAAGCCTGTATCACAGTGCTCCCATCAGAAAAAAAAGGGCAGATACTTTCCAAGCATTCTCAGGACTCAGGAGGCAAGATGGTCAAATGGTCTACACTTTTTTAAAGTTGTTACAGTTTAGATGGTTTACGCTTTTAACTTTTAGCTTGTAAGTGGTTTATGCTATCAGGATGAAGATTGAATGAAAATGGCTGACACTGAACAGAAATGGCTGTTTTTGAAAGTTCTCTTTTTCCAAGATTAAAAGCTAAAGCGTGAACAAGAACAGCTGTTTGAAAGCTCTCTGCTCAGATTTCGTTGAAGATTAAACAGTGGTTTTGGAGTTTAATTGCATAACCTGTCTGTATGAACTACCATGCAGCAGCAGCAGCAGCCAAATAGCTCCCAGATAACTTTCAATAGCTCCCCAAAAAATGGCCTTTGGGTTTTTATTGAGAGATGGTTAACGGAGGGTGAAAATTTCAGACAATTTGTTGCACCATTTATAAAAAAAAGTTAAAAAAAACAATGGACATTTTAACCAAACTTGCTGCCAATTCATGGAGTGGACGCCATATTAACTAATTGCAAAAAAAAAAAAGAAAAAAAAAAAAGTTAAAAAACCGTAAAACTCCAAGGCAAAAGTGCACTTTCATGCACATATCGCGAACATTCCAATTTCAGAAATCTTTAGAAATTTCAGAAGTGTCATCAGAGGAATTTCCATAAAATTTGACCCCCAAACCCTAATTTCTGTTTTGGACCCATTAACCAAGGAGCTGAAAGTGGGTGTCCCCGTTAACCAATTGTGTGCCTCTTGTGTGCATTTTCCTTTGGTCTCTTTGGTGCCAGGTTTTAGTTCATTGTGCAGTTTCTGAGGGGAAGCCTTCAGAAATAAGGCTAGGTGGAATTGCAGAAGCTGGAGTGGAGCCAGTCCCTTTTGTTGTTAGTACTCCAACAATCGGGAAGCTATACAGAGTTCTAGAAGGATGTAAGACAATTTCCGTTCAGAAGGGATGTGTGAGGGTTGTTGGAGGAGGGGACCACTCACCAGGACATCCTCCTCAGCTATGAATCTGAATCACCCGAATGCCTCATTCTCCCTTTGGCCATACTTCACGTCCCTTGTGAAGCACGTTCAATTATATCCTTTCGTCCCACCACCTCCCCTCTAGACAATCAGCTTCCTTCAACTACCTACACACACACAGACCTACACACACACCTACCACAAGCGGTCAACCGGTAGCTGAAAATTCAGGAATGAAAATTCTGAAGTGAGAGTTTTGGGCAGTTTGAAAATCCCGAACGGTCTTGAAGTGGTGAAAGGTCCGAAAACCTTGAAAACCACCTGTTTAGGCAGGCTGCATCCGGAAGTGGTGAAGTGAGAGTTTTGGGTAGTCTGAAAATCTTGAATGGTCCTGAAGTGGTGGAAGGTCCTAAGACCCTGAAAACCACCTGTTTAGGCAGGCTGCATCCTGAAGTGGTGAAGGGTGTCCTGAAGTGGTGAAAGGTCCGAAGACCCTGAAAACCACCTATTTAGGCAGGCTGCATCCTGAAGTGGTGATGAAAGATACGACTCTTGTTAACCTTCTCTCTCTCACACACACACACACACACACACAAACATGGGGAAAGAAAAGAGGGTTGTTGGGTTGGGGTGGAGGGTTCACAGAGCCACACACATACACATGCACACACACACACACACACACACACACACGCACACGCACACACACACACACCCACATTTAGAAAGGCAAAAGCAGTGTTCCCTAACAGTTACTTGTTTATACCGTTCCGCCAATGGGCCAGGTGTCTTGGACCTCTCCTGTTCAGGCACCAAACTTATCCTCTGAAAGATGTGAAAACTTGTGTCTGTTGTTTAAGTCGATGACAGTCTGTGTGTGTGCGTGTGTGTGTGTGTGTGTGTGTGTGTGTGTGTGTGTGTGTGTGTGTGTGTGTGTGTCTCTCTCTCTCTCTCTCTCTCTCTCTCTTTCTCTCTCTCTCTCTCTCTCTCTCTCTCTTGTCATGCCACCGCTAGGTGGCAGCAGGGGCGTGCTTCCACCCGTGCCTGTTCATCAAGAGCTAGTATCTCCCACATGCCTTAAATAAGTCTCATCCATGTGCTAGCGGAACCACATCCCAGGTGTTCAATGGTGATGGTCGTTGAAGGAATCACAGTAATGATGATGACTAGTGAGGAACACACACATCAATGGTTAAGTTCACCCTCATGTAAAGAAGCCTGACATAATTATCCGGGCCAATTGTGTTCAAAATTTGCCAGTTGTCCAACCCAAATCATCCGGTGGAGCAAGAGGGTGATGAAGAAAACCTCTGTGGCTATGGAGGAGTAAGTTGTAGAAGTGGGAGAGTATCCAGCTATGAAGGGAGGAAGGAGAAGCTATGATGCTCATTCATCTTCACTTCCTTGGCTAGTGTTGCATCAAGAAGGCCCTTTTTTGGGCACTGGTTAAACGTGGACCTTATCCTTGAGTGACGATGCATGATGGTAGAGGAAGCATGAGGCATAGTAGAAGTCCCATGTCCTCCGAATATCCCATGCATAGCGTGCAAAGGAGGGGCGATCCATGCTATCTGATAGCACAACTACTAGGAAGAGGAGGAGAAAAGAGAGAATGGAGAGCTGAAGGATAGTCCTGCCCACATTGGCTGATGGAGATCTATCAGACATACGTTCATTCATCTATAAATATTATTTGTGATTAAATCGTGTAATAAGAAGAGGCAGAGATTTTGTGAGGGATGACGTGGAGGCATGATGAAGAGGTAGATGACGGTGGTCCAATCTCCTCCTCCTCTTCTTCTTCTTCTTCTTCTTCTCCTCCTCCTCCTCCTTCTCCTCTTCTTCCTCCACCTCCTCCTCCTCCTTCTTCTTCTTCTTCTTCTTCTTCTCCTCCTCCTTTTTTTTTTTTTTAAATATAAGCAATTCATGAGGTCGGGAATTCCTCAACATCTCAACCCGGTTAGTGTTGGGGCCATTACCCAGGTTAGGCTTGTGGTGAAAACCGAGTCTGGCGTCCCCTTGTCTGCAACTACAACGAAAATCCGAATTGGACAATTAAGACGCAAACAGAAATAAAGGAAGAAAACTAAACCTGGACAATGGAAACACAAACAACAATGAGGAACAAACTATACTTCAATTTCTCGAGATAGGTGACCCGACTACATCCTAAACCCTAGACACTGGGTCCAGCGTCTCATTGTCTACAACTTCAAAGTTGAAAATGGAGTAACCAGCTAGTATCCCAATTCCCCAAAGGTCATTGAAGTTCTAAAGCCAAGGAATTGCATAATGGTCTCCAAGCCTCTGTTCGTTTTGCCTCTCCCCTGTTCTCTTAAGTCCTATACTACTAGTAGGGTCCTGTTCCCCTGTAGCACTGACACCACCCTGCTCCCGTGTGGTTAAGGTTCGTCCCCATCTTTATCTTAGTGCTTGGCCTTCCAAGGTTGCCACTCCCCCTTGCCCCAAGACTGCCTCTGTGAATCTTCGGATGAGGTCTTGGGCGTCTGCATGGTTCTGTTTGGTATTTCTCCTCATCCTGTTCCATTGAGCTCTGATGTCCATTTCCAGCAGGTTTCTAAAGATCTCTTGGGCTTCCTCTATGGACAGTTGGCGGTTGTCGATCACGTGTTGGCACCTTCTCTCCCATATGGTCCAGAGGTCGTATCGTCTGAGTAATTGGGAGCTTCTTTTCTCGAATATTGTCCACTTGGCTGGGGAGGCGTTCCCCGTCAGCTGCAGCACTACGTCTGTCGGGAACGGGGGCTTCGATATTTCTGCCGATAACGCCTTCTTCCCAACACCCCATATTTGTTGTGTGTTGCAGCACTCCATGAGGCAGTGGCTCATTGCTTCTCCTGTGTTATCTGAGCAGACCTTGCATCGTTCATTTCCGGGGTCGCTGTGTTCTTTACTTCTTCGTGCTGTTAGCCATGTGTTGACTGGCAACGCTACGTGGAATGTCAGCCATTGCAGACTTCTTAGAACTTACCTTCCCTAATCTAATGGAGAACAACTGAGGCCAGGGCACCTCTGGGGGTTGCGTTAGGACTACTCCCATCTTGTCGTTCCATGTACCAGCGTGTCTTCCAGTGGGTGGGTCCTGCTTGTCAGCTTGTAGTCTAGCGGGGTTGTGTACCACAGGACGTTGATCCTATGAGAGATGTTTAGACGCCAGCCTCTCGAGTTTCAGGCCCACTCTGCTGGGTCCACTTCTAGATCCTCTAGTCCTGTAGTTGGGCAGTATATGGTGAAGTCCTCCGTTTCCACGACCCTTACTCGTCTAACCGCCTGCAGCTGAATTGTGACCGGTGTCCTTGAATCTTTGTTGAGTTTACTAGTGGCAGTCCCTCTTTCCTTTATGTCGTACATCTTCGTGGTAAGCCAATTTCCTTGTGGTTCGTCCGTTTTCTGCAACCTGAAGGCGACTGCTGGTTCTCTTCCATGCAACCACGTCGTGCAGTCCCTTCTTCTTCTTCTTCTTCTTCTTCTTCTTCTTCTTCTTCTTCTTCTTTTTTTTTTCTTCTTTTTCTTTTTCTTCTTTTTCTTCTTCTTCTTCTTCTTCTTCTTCTTCTTCTCCTCTCTTCTTTGTCTTCTTCCACTTCTTATTGAGTTGCAATGAATGACAATGTCTCCAAGCCTAGTTTTGCATCATGAATTGGACAAGATAAAAGAAAAAAATAGAATCCCCGCTTCTTCTTCTTCTTCTTCTTCTTCTTCTTCTTCTTCTTCTTCTTCTTCTTCTTTTTCTCTGTGGTCTTCGTCGCCGTCGTGGTCTTCTTCATCTTCTTGTTCTTCTTCTCTCTTCTTTGTCTTCTTCCACTTCTTCTTGCATTGCAATGAATGACATTGTCTCCAAGTCGAGTTTTGCATCATGAATTGAACAAGATAAAAACGGAGAAAAAAAGAAGAAAATGGATCATAGCAAAGTCAGTTGATTTCACACTTGTATCATGATGGATGTATATCAAATTTCTAATATTTTCTAAACTTTTCTAATGTATTCATGACCTTCTTGTGGGTCTGCAGTGGGGGCAAAGGTTGCAATCACACGGTCTCAGATCCCACTGTACATTCCTTCCTTTACAGTCCTGTTTGCTCCGCCAAATCGTGCGAGTATGATGAAGGGGGAGCAAGCATGTGCCATCTTTGAATTCAAGGTACATGATGGGTCACGACCGTCATCGTTCTCATCTCAAGTGATGATCGACTGTGTTGGTACGTGTGCATCATCATATCTGTCGGTCTCTGAAGGACTTAAAGCAAGTTAAAGGAGCTTTTTCCCTTTTTTTTCCTTCTCTTTTTATGAATCAGTTTCATTGTTGCTGAAAGTAGGGTTTGGCAAATTGGCATCCCTTACACAATTGACGCCTTCCACGCGTTCCTCTGTTATGGCCGAGGAGTAGCCCTGCGACAGCGACATTGATTACTTCCTGCGGAGGGGGAATACCTACAGCGGCTCCAGCTAATGTGATTGTTGCATTAGCCTGCTCCAATTGATTTTGCACCTGTTTTTCCCTTTTTAATTTTTTTTTTTTTTTTCACCTTCTAACATAGCCATCTTTTTTTTGTTTGTATCAAGACAATTGCAAGGGTTATGAGCGGGAACGATAGACAAAAAACCAAGTTGCAAAATCACGAAGAAGCTCAGATAGTCGAATACCAAGAAGAGAGCACAATGCACCAAGATACCATTCCAATAAGAGCAATACAATAAACTCTGATGTCAATGTCGCCACACTCTGGTCACACCAACATAGTATCCACTGTCTCTCCTACTGTGTGGCGCCTGGCACCCAACCTACTCTACTCAACCTATCTAGCCTGTCTACGTTCTTGCAGCCAGATCATATCGTTGTTGAAGACCAATTTACATTAACGTCATCTCCAATGCAGACCGCCAGCATACACCAGGTACGTGCTCTCTCTCCTCCCCTCAACACCTCGTCTCCCCTCTTCATCATGCGCCTCCTACCCGAAGACCACCATCACCTCCTCTGCGCACCCGCATGCTCGGTCCGGGTATGGCCGTCCTGCGCCCACTGCCACCGCAGTGCCCTCAGTACTTAGCGCGCGTTGTTGCACTTTTTCCAGTCAAGCCTGTTCAGGCGATCAGAAAGGCAACAGGCTGTCACGCAGGATTTTGATGATGATTGCAATAAATAAAATAAATTATATAAAGCAAATCCCTTCCTGTTGTGCGCGTCCGGCTTCGAGTGAGACCTTTCAATTGCGGTCTTCGCCGGTTCCCGGTCTTAGGAATCTTTTATTTTGATCCGGAACAACAAAAATCATGTAATTAATAATCATAGAATTTTTGGTATGTCATGCATGCATCAATTTTGCCAATTTGCTAATTTTGAGAACTGTGACAAGATCATCAGAAAGCACAATTATCAAGCAGTGTCAGTGCAAATGAAGCAGGACTAACACACTCAAAGTCAAGACAGGATAAACGAGGGAAAAGTGAGAACTCATAATAATCTCAGGAAAGTACAGATGAATAGACACGGCCAGCACTAGTCAAGAGTCCTCACTCATCCGTCTAAAGTCTCAACATTGATCTCTCGTTTTGGTTGTGCGTCTCTTGTGCCTTGAGCTATGCCTATGTACTTCCCGAGATTGAAGCTTCTGAATGTAAAGCCACCTGAAGATTGCAAGCGACTTTCAAGGATTTCATTGAACAACGTTTGAGTGCTGATATAAGGTTGCAGTTAGAAACAACTCTATTTTTCAGTTATGAGAGAATGTTGAAGACTGATCGTTAGATTTTGCTAGGGCAGGCCTCAAAAGTAGTTCGGGCAAACTATTTGATCTTGCCTGGACGTCGGTAGAGTATGTGACTAGCTTGTCAACCCGCACATCTAGCAAGCGAACTGAATGTTCGGCTAGATGCTACCCATCCAAGGCAAGTCCGAACACTGGTCCATAACATGCCGGAGGATAGCAACTGTAATGTCAGAAAAGTGATGGTGAAAGATGTCTACCAGTTTCAAAGTGATGCTGAGAATACCACTGACTTGGGCTATTCTACTGCGATGATTTACCTCTGGTGGCTTTCATCCAAACCTTAGTTAGTTTTCTCTGTTGATGACAAGTTGTTCGCTGGTTAGTACATAATTTCCCTTTCCTAATCAGTATCCAATCATCGTCGGTTATTCAGTAGGCTGCAGATTACTGAAACTTCCAATCAACTGCTCACTGCGTAAGGATCATTTACACTCTACGTGAGTTTGACAGCACTCTCGCCCCATTCATGTATTACGCAAAGACGCTGATAGACGCACGTGCAACATTGATAAACCAACAAATACTGTTGATTTCCAGTTTTCACACTCAGATGAGACAAAAGCAAGAGTTTATAGATCCAACTCTCGCACTGAACAGGAAAGCAGGTGACCACAGTTTTCACTCACGTGTAAATCAAGGCGATGTACTGCGTCGGAAAAAGACAGGAAGCCGAGTTGCTTCGCTCGTAATCTTATAGGCTCTCTTCACTCTCACTACGACGAGCTTGTCTGACGTGTGTTCAAAATCCGTTTTCTCCCTTTGAGTTACGTTGATTCAGTAATAAATCTAGTTTCCTACATGGGGATCATACTGGTAGTATGTATGTCAATAATCCACTTCTTGGATAGTTTCGGTGCCAATAAGATTAGTCCTCCTCTCTTATCACTGCATCGAGTGCCCCTGAGAGGCTCTCGATTCAAACGGTATGCCTCGCTCTACCAGAGGGGTCTCCCCCTCTGTGTTTTCTCTGACAGGATTCAGATCGATCACTAAGAGATGGAAGATGAACTTGAGGTGAAAAAAAACTTGTGGCCACTGCGGTCTTCTGTTAAATTTCCGCTGCAGATTTGTGTCTAGAGTCCTTCCCGCGGGCAACCCGGTCATGTATATAGTATGGGATAGTGAACCATCATTCTCTAGCAACACATAACAGTGAGCATTGGTAGTCACTGTTACCGTTTGTACTTGGCGTAAGGGGTTGACGAGTTCAACTCCTACCCTTTGCTCGTCTTGGACTTGAGGGGTGAACGCTGCGTTTCACTTAGTTGAGAGTCTCTTAATTGACAAGTCTCGGTTAGGCCGAATATACACTACTGCTCACACTAACCCCTACTCGTATGTTGCTCATTAGAATTTGTTGTCATTCCTGTACGATATGAGGTGCCACCTAGGATTATCGTCATCTGTATTCGGGCCAGCAGTTGTTTAGCATTGTCCTTACTCACACTTAGTACAGGGCTACAAAGGGCTGCTCACGACACACTGCATCGGAGTTCGTTAAGAGCGACCCCTTTTTGCCACATTGATTGAGTGACCAAGAACGGAGGGAGAGAATATACTGTTATGAACGGAATCAATCCGGGCACAAGGAGATGGCGTGCAGGCAGATGGGCCGATCTTTGAGCGTCAGTCGGGAAAACACTAAATTTTCTGCGTCCCTCACCACAAGCCAGCCAGAGGTTCACTATCGATTTTCAGTATGGATGCCTTGCCAAGCCTTCAAGCGTTAACGACTCGGGATTAAAAGGAGCATAGGAGGTGGATGATGGGAACTTACCGAGCTAGCATTTAGTCCCCGTCCAACAGGAACCTAACAAGAAGGTAAGCAACTCTCCTGAGTACCCTCCCCTTTTCCCCCATCTGTTTGATAGTGACGGTATACCTTGTCAAATCTGACTTATCAATCTGACACAACAACAAGCCCCTCTCATCGTGATTGGGGCTCTCTGATTGTTACTCGTTACTTTGAGAGAAGCACACGACAGGGAAGTGCGAGTAGGAAGGACTGTTGCCCAACACATATCGAGACAGGGGATGAGAACGAAGGAGGGGTAAGCAAGGTTTCTGCGAGAGATGCTGGAACCTTACGTGGTGGTTCAATCTTAGCTTAAATAGAACCAAACTCCTCGCCGATCAACCAACCAGTTTAAGTCAAGCTTCCAACCGTCCCGATTTCACACTCAATCACAGACATGATACAAGAAGCCCTTGGCCAACAATGGTCCAGAAATAGCATGAAAAATGGTAAGTTATAAATTCCGGGAGACACAAAAAAGGCCTTAAAGATGGACTGAGAAAGGGAGCCAATCGGGTTCCTTCACCATTAGTGATGGTTCAACTTCTGATGCTCGTTTTCTTCATCCAGTTCTCACATAGCCCTCACGCGTAAGTAGTCCTCTTTTTCTCAAGGTCGACGAGAGAATTAGGCTCATGACAAGGGAATAGTACAACAACAATGTGACCCAGCGCTATGACCGAACACTCTCAGATGAAGTCAATAATCTAGAGAGTTCGAGTAACCTCTCCTCCTCAGCCTCGACTTCTTTTCACGCTTCACTGACTCCGACTCTTCGTGACTTCTCCATCTCTCATTTTCCCTGGACTGTGACCGTAGAAAGTTGCGCATACCCATCCTTTGTCATATCCATGATAGAGACGATAGCGATCGTGAGTGGGAATTAGTGACGTCAACTCTCTGATAAGCCACTACTCTACACTTTGTCGTTGCACCCAACTTCTCCTTCAACAACGATCCTTGCGTACTAGCAAATGCAGTCGCTAGTGACCAAAGAGGCGAAGAGCCCTCTTTTATCCCTCAGTAGCAAGTGCAGGGCAAGCAACGGATGTCTTAAAGTGACGACTTCAAGTGAATGCAGCCGCTAGTGACCGAAGAGGCGAAGAGCCATTTTTTATCCCTTAGTAGCAAGTGTAGGGCTAGTGACGAATGACTTAAAGCGACGGATAACTTAAAGTGCCTTCTCCATCTCTCATTTTCCCTAGATTGTGATCGTAGAAAGTTGCTCGTACCCGTCCTTTGTCATATCCATGATAGAGACGATAGGGATCATGAGTGGGAATTAGTGACATCAACTCTCTTATAAGCCAGTATTCTACACTTTGTCGTTACCCCAGCTTCTCCTTCAACAACGATCCTTGCGTACTAGCGAATGCAGCCGCAAGTGACCAAAGAGGCGAAGAGCCCTCTTTTATCCCTCAGTAGCAAGTGCAGGGCAAGCGACGGATGACTTAATGTGATGGCTTAAAGCGAATGCAGCCGCTAGTGACCAAAGAGGCGAAGAAACCTCTTTTATCCCTAAGTAGCAAGTGCAGGGCAAGCGACGGATGACTTAAAGCGACGGATGACTTAAAGTGACTTCTCCATCTCTCATTTTCCCTGGACTGCGACCGTAGGAAGTTGCTCATACCCA